TAAAAATATATGTATAAATACATTTTAAACACTATTTTGCTTCTATACTATATTTTATTGCCACAAAAAACTACTTTCCCCTTAAGGAATCTATAAGAAGGAATATAAATTATGTCTTCATCTACGAATGCTAAAAAAGGAAACTTTTCCAATTCATAGTCATCAACTAGAAAATATGTCTGATAATTGTTACAAACCTATTTCATCCAAAGTTTAAACAATATATAAATTCTTGTCTTTTACTTGCCAAAAAAAATAAGCAGTAGGTATTCTAGAAGTCAGAATCACTTTTCAATAAATATGAATAGGAAAAAGCAGGCACACTTCTTCCACGAGCTGCCGTTAGGCCCTAGGTGGATGGGGATCATCATGTCCTTGGACCTCTCACCTGATACTTAGGTCATAACTTCCGCTCAGGAGAAAGTTTTCCTCCTCACGCAAGAAGACGGCCCGGACACTCCCGGCGTGGCCTCGGAACTCGATCGGTAACTTCGTGAAATGTATGATGTCCAGAAGGTGGATCTTCCGATTAGATGACACAGCCACCAGATCTCCCCCAGCATAGTGGATGACTCTGTTTTCGTCCCACCTGAGTTGCAGGGGAAAACGGTTATCCATGAAAGTAGAGTTCGGGTCCTTCCTGGAACCTGCATAGCGCAGTGACTTTTGCATACAATGGTGGTGTCATGCAGAACTGAAGGCCTTTCCACAAGGGAGGCAACAGAAGGCCACTGAGTGTTAACAGTCCCTGAGAGAGTCCCTACCCTTCTACCATCACAAAAATGCATTTCAGGTAGATTTAAAACCTAAAGACACAAGGCAAAATTATTTTTTTAAAAAAATTCTGCTAAGGTATGCTAAATCCCCAAGAGAGAGAATAGAGCATGTGGCATTTCCTAGATTTATTTAACCGTGGAGACCTTTTTTCATGGAAAACCTCAGAGGAACACAATTGGGAAGCCTTACCCACATTGCTTTCTTTTCTTTTCTTACTTTAACGGATATCCAAGGAGCATACACTAGGTTCAAAGTCCTGTGCTAGTCAGTACCATGGAAAATACAAAGATGAATAAGACATGGGCCTGGCAGTGCACTTTCAGTGAGCTTATAGTCCAATAAAACCAGAAACTAGAAACTGAGCCGAACTCATTTTCCAATTATGGGATTATTAGCAAATAGGTAAAATATGAACAGGATGAACAAATAATTTATTGTCCAAACTGAGACTTTTTTATTGTGAAAGGGGACGCTATTATTAAGTACACTGGGACCACAGAGTAAACTGGGATTACTCCAATAAACAGGGACGTATAGTCACTCTAAATAGAGGAGTAATTTTCGACATTTTTGTCCTCACTCCATTTGTCGTAGCTGGAGTTCAGTCACCATCTCTTCTACAGAGCAGTCATTGCCCCACTAGCCACAAAAACTCAACTTTGCCTTTCCCCTGTCTGCTCTGTCTTCCCCATACCGACTGGTCTATTTTCAAGATGCAATTTGTTAATAAGATTGACGGACAAAAATAAAGTAGAGGTGGCCCTCCCAAAACCTTATGAATAAAAAGTGAAGTCCTAGGCCTAAAGTGTGGCAGAAAGTTGATTATTAAAGGGCCTTCTTCTTAATGGTGTAACAAAATAATGCCACATTGGGCAATTATTATAAATACAATTTTCATATTTACCACGGAAAAATATCCACAGTAATCTTCTGAGTCAGGTTACAGAAATGTATGCAGCATACCCTCATTTCTATTTAAAATGCATGCTATGTGTGCAAAGAACAAATTCTAGAAGGGTAGACATC